ATATATATATATATATATATATATATATATACCCTAAACAGCCAGGCAAACCTACCTAGGTTTCATCTAAACGGCTCGTCAGGGAAATGCCGGTAAGTTTGCCTGACTCTGTAGGCTTATGTCAGGTTTGCTCTACTTCGTGTATTGAGCACTTTACGTAGTTGATTTTACTCGTTTTGGAGGTCTTTTTTTTTTCTTTGGACTCTGCGCTTGAACTCTGGACGATTGTTTTCGCTTCAATTTCATGTTCTTTCTTTTTTATTCCTCATTTTCCTTGGGTAATAGTTTGTTCTACTACAAGCCAACATACCCAAGGTTTTTCCATCTGTACCACCATTATATATATATATATATATATATATATATATATATATATATATAACGAATAAAAATCATAACTCTAAGCCCTCTTGTATATTGCTTGAACTTAAATTTAATCTAATCACGTTAGACATTGAGAAAATTCTGTAGTAGTGGCAGTAGATATCTCTAGATATATTCATCGTTGTCTAAGGAGAGAAATAAAATTAAGTAACTAACTTGTAACTTTCTGTCTTTGTCCTCGCTAGTTGTCAATGTCCTAAAAACTGTTGTATTAATCTATGTGTTCAGTTATGCACACATCTTAAACCTTTTCCGGCACAAACCAGAGTGCTATACCACGCTCATTGCATTGGATGTGGGTGGTCTTTCGATTTCTACGGCCGCGAAACCAAGCCATAATGACAATAAGCAATAGAGTGGAAGATTTTAGCTCTGATGAATTTGTTAGGCGATGCATCATCGAAAAGCATGGGAGAACTTCTGTCAAATGCATAGAACTACAGTGTTGGCAAAAATGGAAAAACATCCAGCCTTATTTATCTGGTCAGTATAAGGTATATGTTAATACTACGTAAAGGAAGTTGAGTGGATTTATGAAAATACTGTTTATGAGGTTTGCGGTTAGGGTCGGCTTGTATGTTACGGTTTTTTTGTTTTTTATAAAAACTGTGTTTCATTCATGCTGGTTACACTGAAAAACAAAGTAAAAGCTGACTGAAATTCTCCAGGAAGCCAGTAAGTAAAAGTGGAACAGGTATTACTTATCTTAGCTGCACGAGAAAAGAGGAAATGAAAATTTAAGGTTGTAGTCATAGAGTTTAGCGTTTACAATTGATGGAATAGAAAATGATGACAATGTGGAAAATCATCGATTACAAAAGTATCTGATTTTTTTTGTTTGACTAAGGTGGGAACATTATTGAATTGACATGGAAGCAATTTTTTAAGTGAAAATAAGTGGAATAAAAAATTTGTTCAATGAAAAGGAACTGACAAAATTAGACTCGAAAACTATTTTTCTATATAAATCATTTGCGTGTTTCTCATACTTATAAAATATATAATAAAATATTTAGACTATTTGCATAGACTTTTGTGCAAATAAATTGAAGCAAAACGTATAATTTCGTTATTAAATACTTTTTTACGTATTTTTCCAACAAAAAATGACCCAGTGCACATACTACTTCGTATGCCCATTCCACAAAGTCGTAGTTTGACCACAGATTCTCGATTGGATTTAAATCAGGAGAGTTTCCAAGCCAATCTATAGTACTTTGATTTTCTCACTGGTAAGGCTTTTAGTGTCTTTGTAATGCGTTACAATCCTTGTACGTTTCCTTGGAGTAACGTCCATTGCAGACAATGGTGGTAGGACAACTAATTGAGAGTCAAGACAATAGTATCTGGGCGTGATGAAAATCTGATGCGATCACGGATGACGCAATATTTTTCAAGGACAAATAAATTTCATCAGGCACCTCGAAAATAGATTCGTTTTACTGCACACCACTGCAAATGACCTAATCTGAGGAAAAAATAGAAATCGTTTACACTCTGTCACTTTAATGGGTCTAAAACTGACCGTATGGTGAAAGAAAGGAAACTGAAGCATTTGTTTCGATTAATTTGCACAAGAGTGTACACGGGCTATTTTCCTCGTCTTTGTTTTTATTATCACAGTGTTTCGGCCGTTGTGCTCTCCGGTATTCATATAATGTCTAATGAATGTTTAACGCCAGAGACATGACTAATGCATACGAAACATAGAATCTAATAAAAATTCACTTAAAATTTATACAAATAGGTATTTGAGAATACCTTAATTTCCCTATTCTCTTGGCTTAAATGTGTGGTGGTTTAATGGATAGAGGTTTGATGGTTTATGGTTTAATGGCTACAGGTTTAATGGTTCAAGTTTTAATGGATATAGATTTAATGGCTAGAGGTTTAATGGTTTATGGTTTAATTGATAGATCTTTAATGGATAAAGCTTTAATGGATAGAGGTTCAGAATGAGAAATCGGAGAGCCGAGTTCAAATTCCAGTCAAGTTCGTTACATTCTCTTATGCGTAAATATTTCCTTGCAGCTATGCGTGAAATAGCAGGAAAACCCATTATCCACTTGCAAATAAACAGTTCTTAAAATCCAAAATATGTTTCGGTTTTAATTAATCCACGAAGGGTTGACAGTCCTGAGTATGACAATAAACTACATTCACGTCCTGGGTAAGACGATAACCTACATACGACAGCAAGGCCTCTGATCGGGTGGTTTTGTGGAGCATTTTGGAACCACCTCTTAATTGTTGGTGCTCCCAGGTCCACTCTGATCCGGGATGGTAGCACCTGCTAGGGTTTCAGCTATGAGCAAATAGTTGACTCCCAAACTGGGGTCAAAACACTATGAAAGTGTGAAAATACGTTTTAATACCAGCAATATATTTTTGAAATAAATAATTACCAGCTAAAGATTTTGGAAGAAAAAAAAATACCAACAGTAAATTATTACCAGCAGTACATTTTTGCAAAAGAAAAATATTACCAGTAGTACATATTTTTTTAAAATATTACCAGCAATAAACTTTTCAAAAATAATATTACCAGCAATACAATTATGAAAAAAATTATTACCAGCAATAAAAATCTTGTATTAAATAACCCATTGAGGCTGATATGCCGTAAAACAAATCAAACCAAAGCGTTGATAAGTCGTGAAAAAATCAATCATTGCCCTTGATTGCAAATAACACAATACTTTTCATGTTTTCCTTAAGGAAAAGATCAGTCGTACCCAATTCATATCTCTGTTTTAGAAATGCCATGAAGAATTTAAATAATAATTCAGTAGAAAAACCATTTAATATTTAAAGGCTGTAATGATTGTTGAAATTGTCGTGAGTCTAGTACCAGTGATTTTTTTTCAATTTGTATTCAAATCCAGCTATATCAAGTTAGAAGACTGTTTCTCGTCCTTTTCCATATGTATTTTTATAGCCAGAATCTATCTTACATATATATAAATCTACCATTCATCCTTGCTTTGAA